TTAGATGCACCTTACTTAGATGTATCTAAAAAGTAAAAAAATTGTGAAAAAACATTTTAAAAATTAATAAATACATGAAATACAAAAAATGTACTGAATTCTTGTATTTTTTTTATTTATATGTTTGGTATTTAGTGAATTTTTAAAAGATTTTTTTTACATTTTTTTTACTTTTTAGGTATATTTATGTTAGGTGTGTCTAAAAAGTAAAAAAAATTGTTTAAAATATTAAAAAAATTCAGTAAAAACAAAAAACACGAAAAATAAGAAAATAGAATTTTCTGAAAAGTGTTTTTTGAAAAATGAAAACAAGCAAGTAGACTAGGATTGGGCTAGGCAGAATCTATAAAAATTCATAGCAGGACCTATGTACAGGTATCCCAATTCTTACTTTGGAATACACAGAGTTTTTGTGTCTATTGTCTATTTGCTGACTTAGGCATTGGAGAGGTTTCCGGTACACACCTGCCCGCTAGTTCATGTTTGTGTTTTCAGGGTAGTAAAGCGACGAAGTTTGGAAAAGTGCAAACTTGATCAACATGATTATATGAGAAGATTATTTCGTGCTCGTACATCTTTCAAAATGAAAGAAGATAAAATTAATAGCTCATATATATTGGGTTAAGTAAGCAGTCTTGAGGTTTATAAATTATTTTAAGACCATACTTTAGATGAATAAGTTAGACCTAATATTGGGTCAAGTCGATTTGAGATGACACGAATATTTTTACTATATAATGCCAGCTTAATTTGAACCCATCCTATCCCAATATTTGTCCACTCCTACGTGAAACTCATTACAAGTCCTGTTTTGATAATTCAAATTATTTATTCTGTAAGAATTTTTGTGTATATCATTCATTAAAAAAATAATAGGTCAATTATATTTTTAAAAGTATATTTGTCATCTAGTTTTTTAGAATCAAACGTGATAAGATGAAAATATTACGATTGACCTATTAAACCAATTTGTTTCATAAATAATATACATCAATAATCCTATAAAATGAAGGGTAAATTACACTTTGCCTCATTTATGATTGACTAATTTTTCACTTTGGCACGTAAAATTATATTTTCCCATTTTAATCCTTCATGTTTCAAGTTTTTTTTTTACTTTACTTTTAAAGTTAATTTTTGTTAAAAATTAGACAGAAAATGACATATTAATAGTTACATGGCATACAAAATATTTTATTATATATGACTCATACCTCTAACATAAACTTAAACTCCAACATAATAATATATTTTATGTTATGTGACAATTATTGTGACTTTTTTTTTCCTAATTTTGAACAAAAATTAATTTTAAGAGTAAATTGAAAAAAACTTGAAACATAAAGGGCCAAAATATGAAAATAAAAATAAAAATTAAGAGTTAAAGTAGAAAAGTGACCAAATATAAAAAGATAAAATATAATTTATCCTAAAATAAATAAGTTGAATCATTAAAACATGATCTGTAAAAGTATCTGCGACGCTCATTCAAATTTTCATCAAATTTGAATAAAAGTTTGATCTGATATGTTGCGCTCCAATGATTTCATTATATCTAACCGGTTGACTGGTTTAGAGTAAATTTTTAGCAAAACTTTTCCAAGTTAGTCATCCACCTGGTTGTCTTGCCCGGCAGTAGCGGAGTTAGGAATTTAGTATAAGGGGGCACCTGGATCTGCAGGAAGGTCTACTAAATTGATTTCTATGCGACTTTGTTTTGCGGAAGAATAATTATCATCTTCTTCTTAAGGAAGAGATGATTCTAACTTTGATTTTTTTTTTGAAATATTTCTCCATGATTGTTTGAAAAACTAAAAATCAAAATAAAAATTCATAATCAAAATCACAAACCCCTACAAATCAAAATCTCCAATTTTGATACAAATCAAAAAATTTAAATTAGTACAAATCACAATAAATCAAAATTTCTAATTTTAATACAAATTATAACAAATCAAAATTCCTAATTTAAATATTAATCACTACAAATTAATATTTTTAATTTTAGCACAAATCAAATTCCTAATTTTAGCACAAACAACAACAAACCCAAATGCTTAATTTTAATATAAATCACCACAAATTAAGATTCATAATTTTAGCATATCAAAATCTCTTATTTTAACATAAATAATAACAAATAATTTTTTTTACAAATTAAAACTTAACAAATAACTATAAATTAATACTCATAAATTTAATTTAAAAGTAAAAAAAATAAAGATAAAGTTACCTGTAAATAATGAAGAGAAGATACCAAGATTGTAGTGTGGTCCAAAATCTGTGTTGTGTGATCCTAATATGGTGAATCGCGAGTCGGTAAATTGCAAAGCAACAAAGGGAGACAAAGAAATACGGAAATACTTAACAAGTACTGTGAATAAATCAAAAAAATAAATAATTTCATACACTTTTAGGGTTTTAGCTTTGCCATAATTGGAGTTGTGTGCACTCACAAAAATAAAAATAAAAATTGTGTGTCAGTGTTTGATTGGGATTGGGATTAACCAAAAAAACAAAAAACAAAAACAAAAAACGTGGGTCCGTGGTGTGGTGTCAATGTGTTTGGGATGCATTTGGGAGGGCTATGTAGCAGGGGCACTGTGTAAGCAAGACCAAACCAAAAAAAAAAAAAAATTGAAAAGTCAGGGGGGCACGTGACCCCCCTCGATCCAACATCCCTCCGCCAGTATTGCCCGGTCTTCATTAATTTGATGAAAAATTTAACCTCACTTTCAGTTGATATGGGTTTAATGTAATAATTAAAATAGAAAAAAAGAATATATTTTATTAAATTTAAATTTGATGATATAAGACCATCTCCAACAGTTAAGCAAAACCATCAACAAATTTGAATTTGGTGAAAAAAGTAATTTTTTTTGGCTCCAACAATTTCATCAAACTGATATCAAAATGAGAATCGTCCAAAAATTTCATGTAATAATTAAAATAGAAAAAAAAAGAATATATTTTATTAAATTTAAATTTGATGATACAAGACCATTTCCAACAGTTAAACAAAACCATCAACAAATTTGAATTTGGTGAAAAAAAGCAATTTTTTTTGGCTCCAACAATTTCATCAAACTGATATCAAAATGAGAATCGCCCAAAAATTTCACCAAATTGAGGAGCTGGGCAGATTTCACCAAAACACTTTGCGTTTACATTGGAGGTGGGTCCTACCGGATGATCAGATGACCACCTTAAGTAGATTTTTGTGAAAATTTTACACTAGGAGGTCAACCCCCCTGGTCGACCACCTCTTTATTTTCTCAGTTTTTTATTTTTTGCATTGGCCGATCGTCCGCTCGGTCTACCAGTAGTTTGATGAAAAGCTAAATTTTTCCATTAGAGCAGGTGATATCAAATAAAGGAAATCATTTTTTTATACTCAATTTTGATAAAAAATATGATGAACCATTGGAGATGCTCTAAGTTGATACTAGCTATTCAAATTCTTTGTACCCAAACGGAGTGGAACAGTGCCCTACCTGTTTGCAAAAGTTCCTCTACATCTGGACACCGCTGTCCATAACGTTAGTTAGGGATCGATCACCCTAAGCATAGTGTTTAATTTGTGTTTTGAGATAAATTGTTTAAAAATAATTTTTTTGAGAAGAGTATTTAAAATTTTTTTTAGTTTGTTTGGTTGTACATTTTAAAAATAGTTTTGAAGTTTGAAATTTGAGATAATTATATTTTATTTAGCTGAGTAAATGTGTGTGAGAAGAAAAATGATTAAAAATAAGAGAGGAGAGAAAAAAAGTAATTGATTGATGTGTAAAAAAGAGAAAGTGATTTTAATTTTTTTTAAAAAATATTTGAACCAAACAAAATTTAAACTTTTTTTTTAAAAATATATCTTAAAATACAAATCAAACAAGCTCTCAAATTCTCTGTACCCAAACGGATTGGAACAGTGCCCTTCCTGTTTGCAAAAGTTCCCCTACATCTGGACACAACTGCCCATAACGTTAGGGACCACGCCCTAAGGCTTCGTTTAGAAACAAATTTTTTTTAGTAATTTTTTAATTTTTTGATTAAAATGTGATTTAAAAAAAAATTAATATATTTAAAATGACTTTTTAACTTTTATAAAAAAATATGAAAAAAATAAAAATAAAAAATCTTTTCACTTTTAATATAAATTACTGACTTTTTAATTTTTTAACCAAAAAAAGTCGATTGGCAAACGAGAACTCTGTTTGTCTCCTAATCTTAAAAGGACGTTTGGCCCGTGTACATACTCACACTGGGCCTTCTTGGTTGTTGCTTTCTTCTTCTTGTACTAGTTGTAGGACCCTTCAAATCTACCGCAGGAAACAACAAATAGTACTGAGAAAGACCTCGATGCATCGGTATCTCCCGGAACACCCTTCATCTCTCTCTCCCCCCCTCTCTCTCTCTCTCTCTCTCTCTCTCTCTCTCTGTCTCTCTCACACTATACTACACAGATTCCCAATCCTCCACTACACTCTTCTAGATCTCTCTCTTCTCTCTTACTCTGTCTCACTGACTCCTCAATTCTCAAGTAATACCGTTACACCATATTCTTTGTTGTTGTTTGAGCAATTGAGAAAGTCACCATCTCTCTCTCTCTCTGGTTCTAGTTTTTAGTCTATACCCATAAAACTCAAAACCATGATTTACCCATTAGTTCCTAATGAAAACCCATTAACCCCAATAAACTTAGCAATCCAAAACTCCGCACAAAGATCATTTTTTTCTTTCTTTTCTCACAATCAAAACCCCAAAAACACCATCGACAAGCCCTTAAGACCTAAAACTTACCTCCTCAAACCCATCACACTAACTCCACATCAAGTCCCTCTCAATAAAACCATGAAAAATAGGGTACATGAGGAGAGAAGAGGTTTTTCTCAAGTGGGTAGTCAGCAGATGTTGGTTTTGTGTGGATTTGGGTACTGGGTACAAGGTTTTAGGGGGTTTCCTTGGCTGGCTCTCAACTTCCATATGGCCGACAATCTCAATTTACATCCATCAACATTGCAGCTTGTGCAGAACAGTGCTAACCTACCCATGGTGATAAAGCCTCTCTATGGAATCTTGTCTGATGCTCTTTATATTGGTGGTGGTCACAGAGAATACCTTATATTTGTATTGGAGGTTAGTTGAATCCCCCAAATACACTTGTTAATCATTTTGGTTATACTAGCTGAAATTGATTTTTAGTTTGACTTGTTCTTGTTATGATTTTTCAAAAAAATAGCATTAGCCACTGTAAATAGTTGTAATGAAATATGTAAAAAATGTATATATATAAAAAAGTATTATACTATTAATAAATCTTTGAAAATTAGAATAAGACCCACTTCAATAATATGGTATAGATGTCATATCAGTCAGTAAGAAAAATTGGCAATGTTTGGAACACAAAATAAATCATATAGCATCTCCAATTCTTCACCTTGTCTTTCACAAAATTTAAATTTGGTGAAAAAGTGCTTAAAAATTATCTCCAATCCTTTCATCAAATGTTTATCAAATCAAGGAGAGGCATTTTTTTTTTTTTATCAAATTGAGAACTCTTATCAAATCTTTCATGAAAATTTTTAAAGATGAAGGAAGCATTGGAAATGATTTTTTTCCCCTATCAAATTTGATGAAAAGGGAAATTTGGGATAAAAGAAGAATTTTTAAAAAGATTTTGATAAAAATTTGATGAAAGGATTGGAGTGGTTCATATCAAATGAAGCTTTTTACTCAAATTTGGAATCAAATTAGACGAAAAAACTGGTGAAGGGTTGGAGATGCTCTATTACTTCACAAAAAATACAATGGAAGGTTGGCATCAAACCCAGTTATGGAAAGATCCACATGAAGATAAATCTCAGCTTATCAATTTGCTTTCTGTGACCCATCTGTGTTCTAATTCTGTGTTCTTCGCATTAGTGAGGAAAAATTTATGAGATTTGTTATTTTGTTTAGCATTGCTCATATAAAATATGTAAAATTATTTGAGGATGCGTGAAAAGTGCATTAGAGTTCTAACTATTTTGGCATATCTCTGTCTTATTGTACGCCCATAGGGCTGTCATTAACACGACATTTTTAGAAATTGAGTTAGTATTTGGAGCTGTTTTCTCATTGAATGTACCTTATATTTGTATTGGAGGTTAGTTGAATCCCCCAAATACACTTGTTAATCATTTTGGTTATACTAGCTGAAATTGATTTTTAGTTTGACTTGTTCTTGTTATATTCTACAAAAGGAAAATGTTTATGATTTTTCAAAAAAATAGCATTAGCCACTGTAAATAGTTGTAATGAAATATGTAAAAAATGTATATATAAAAAAAAGTATTATACTAATTAATAAATCTTTGAAAATTAGAATAAGACCTACTTCAATAATATGGTATAGATGTCATATCAGTCAGTAAGAAAAATTGGCAATGTTTGGAACACAAAATAAATCATATAGCATCTCCAATTCTTCACCTTGTCTTTCACAAAATTTAAATTTGGTGAAAAAGTGCTTAAAAATTATCTCCAATCCTTTCATCAAATGTTTATCAAATCAAGGAGAGATATTTTTTTTTCATCAAATTGAGAACTCTTATCAAATCTTTCATGAAAATTTTTAAAGATGAAGGAAGCATTGGAAATGATTTTTTTCCCCTATCAAATTTGATGGAAAAGGGAAATTTGTGATAAAAGAAGAATTTTTAAAAAGATTTTGATAAAAATTTGATGAAAGGATTGGAGTGGTTCATATCAAATCAAGTTTTTTACTCAAATTTGGAATCAAATTAGATGCAAAAACTGGTGAAGGGTTGGAGATGCTCTATTACTTCACAAAAAATACAATGGAAGGTTGGCATCAAACCCAGTTATGGAAAGATCCACATGAAGATAAATCTCAGCTTATCAATATGCTTTCTGTGACCCATCTGTGTTCTAATTCTGTGTTCTTCGCATTAGTGAGGAAAAATTTATGAGATTTGTTATTTTGTTTAGCATTGCTCATATAAAATATGTAAAATTATTTGAGGATGCGTGAAAAGTGCATTAGAGTTCTAACTATTTTGGCATATCTCTGTCTTATTGTATGCCCATAGGGCTGTCATTAACGTGACATTTTTAGAGATTGAGTTAGTATTTGGAGCTGTTTTCTCATTGAATGTATACATTGCTGCACACTCTGATGTTTTAGTTTGCTTTGATAGCCTTAAACCAGTGGTTGAATATATTCTTGCTCTTTTCTCTGTTTTGGTCTCTATGGTTTGGTGTTATTACACCTTGTTACCTATGACTTCATATGCTAACTTCTTGTTAAAATAATTATGTCAATAGAAAATTGCATGTTTAAGGTAGATGCCAACTTTCAGATTTGTCATCAATAGAAATAGTTTGAGAAAATTTGACCTGTTTTACTTTTTTTGGTCTTTTATTTGTGACTTTGCTTAATTTACCAGGAAGTTTAAGATCAAGTCTTAATAAAATTTATTAGAGTACAATGTACATAATCAAGTTGAGAGAAGTCAATTTGCATTATTATAGCAAGTATTGGGAGTTGAAAATGCTCTAGAAGCCTAATTCAGTTTGGCATTTAAAATTCAATACTTCATTGAAAACTTTGATTATGTCATAATTAAATTTACATTCAAAGTTAAATGTTTTGCATGTATTCCCGCATGTTGTGTTCTGCATTTGAAATAAAAGTTGCGTGTTTTTGTTAGCCCACTCCAATCATGGTATACCTATTTCTGATTGTAACAATATCAAGATTCATACAAGCTGTGAAAATCAAATCCTCATTCTAGACAGATTTAAGACATTAAAAGATCTGATAAGTTGGATCTTTTGCTCATTTTCAGATCTAAACAATGCCGAATTGATTTCATGAATCTGTCTTGCTTGATAAACAGCCCGCCAGTTGACCAATGTGATGCATACACCGATACCAATCACACTCTTACAGTCATCTTGCAGGTTTTATCTTGGGGGCCATTGGCGTTGATCCCATTAGCAAGTGAAGCCCTTTCTACTCTCATGGCAGTCGTACTTCTGAGTAATCTCGGAGCATCCATTACAGAAGTAGTGAAGGACGCTCTTGTTGCTGAGTATGGCCAATAGCACAAAATGTGTGGTCTCCAATCTTACGCATTTATGGCCTTGGCTTCCGGTGGAATCATAGGAAACTTACTTGGCGGTTTTTTCTTACTGAAAACACAAAATCCCAAATCCATGTTCCTAGTCTTCACCGCTTTTCTCTCTCTCCAACTTGCAATTTCTCTTGTGACAAGAGAGGATTCTATTGGTTTACCTCAATCATCAACCCAGAGTCTTGCGAAGAAATCGATTTCAGGTAGTATTAGAAAACAGTATTCCGATCTTATGATGGCAATTAGCGAAGAAACCCTCTGTCACCCTCTTACTTGGATTGTAGCTTCGATTGCCGTTGTCCCAGTCTTGTCGGGTTCAATCTTTTGCTACCAAACACAATGCCTAAATCTCGACCCTTCAATAATTGGGATGTCTCGAGTGACTGGCCAATTGATGCTTCTTTCCATAACTTTAATCTATGACCGTTTCTGGAAAAGCATTTCCATGAGAAAACTAATCGGTATAGTCCAAATTCTATACGCTTCTTCGCTTCTTCTTGACCTCATGTTAGTGAAGCAGATCAATCTGAAACTGGGAATTCCAAATGACGTGTTTGCCCTTTGTTTTTCGGGTTTAGCAGAAATCATTGCACAATTTAAAGTCTTGCCATTCCTAGTGCTTTTTGCAAGTCTGGCTCCGACAGGTTGTGAAGGTTCTCTCACTTCTTTCTTGGCCTCAGCATTGTGTTTATCATCAATTGTTAGCGGGTTTTTGGGCATTGGATTGGCTTCTCTTCTTGGAATAAGATCAGGTGATTACTCAAGCCTGCCTATGGGAATTCTGATACAGTTTCTTGCAGCTTTAGTGCCACTGGGATGGATTTATAACGTCCCCTCCTTGCAACCTATGGCTCTGAAGGAAAAGAAGAGAGGTAGGAGTAAAAGAACTCGATGAAATAGGAGGGTTGGAAGAGTTGGTTTTGATTCAGTTTATGACTACAAGAGAGAACGAGAATCTGAGGCACAGAAGTGAACTATGTTACACGGACTCTTCAAAATAAATGAAATATCCGTGTCGGACACCCGACATTCAGACAAGGGTATGGAATATGTGTCAACTACTTTTCAACAGACGCTTCTTATATAATTGTACATAACACTATTATTATATGTGTATATTGTTGTATAATTGTTATAAATGCCTTTTTGACACTGTAAGTTACATATAGCATTATTTTATCTCACATACTCTATTAAAAATATAAAAATATGACATTTGTTTTGCGGAGTCCACGCATTCTTAAATTTATAATTTGATGAATCCGACCTCTAGATACTTATCCGTACCCGACACCCGTATCCGAGTTCATGTAGCATAAGAAGTGAAAGGTCTGGTTTGATTCAAGTAGTTTTAGAGAACACTGGTCAAAGAAAGTACTCCAAAGAAAACAGTTTTAGAAAACATTTTGAAGAAAGTAGCTGGTGCATCATTTTGAATTTTGATTGCTGTTGTAAAAGAATTACCTCCCAATTTGTCAGTTGAAGACCCTGGTAAGCGGACTTCCTAAAGCAGAGGATGGTGATCAAGTGAAGATATATGGGCCTAGATTTTCAGTCCAGCCAGAAATCTCTAAATTCTCACATTCCAAGTGCGATCACGCATAGAAAAGTACCTCGAAAATGAAATGTGTGGATAAAGATTTAGGCCAAGTTTGGGAAGACTAAGTAAGTGTACTTTTTGACTTTTTATGAAATATGGGTTGGATTTGGGTTGGATTTGAAGTGATGTGTTAGAGAGGTGATGTGACTTAAATAAGATGATGTGATTTAAATAGGATAGTGACTTTTTAACTTTTTAGATTTTTTTGGAGGATGCTAAACTTGGCCTTATTCTGGTTGATACATTTCATTTTCGGGCTTACTTTTTTGAGGCATTTTTGGTAGCAAAATTCTTGAGACCTTCTGGGAACAAGCAGCATCTGACGTCTATCAAGAGGACAGTAGCTAAAAACAAGAATAACTTCTCAAAGGATCAACAGTGGATCTGATTCAGGCATC